CGAGATGGGGATGCAGCGACCCCAAATTTACACGGGATCCAAATTTGCACCGGAACAGGAATGGCCCAAGCCCAAATTTGCCCCGGGATGGGTATTCACCCCAAAATTCACCATCACCATGCAGAGTGGGGGGCCCCCTTTCCCCCCCCCCCCCCCCCCAATTTGGTCCAACGCACTTGATGCAACAAGCCCTGTTGTGCTTCCTCGTGCAAATCCCCACCCCGTGCACCCCCCCCAAAACCCCAGGGCAGCCCCCCAGCACCCACCGTGTGGTGCCGCAGGGTGATGTTGAAGGGGACGTTGAAGGTGACGCCGCGTTTCCCCACGGTGCCGCTGACCACGTGGGAGTTGAGCCTTTCCTGGCGCAGCTCCGTGACGTTGCTCAGCAACTCTTCTATGTTCTTGTAGACGAGGAAGGCCACCGCGCGCTCACCTGCCCGGAGAACCGGGTCAAAAACCACCCCAAAAATACCAAATTTGGGGTTGTTTTTTTTTTTTGAGCTCTTTGTTTTTCGCAGCCGCACGGTGGCCGTACCTGCCTGGGCATTGCTCACCACCTCATGGCAGCTGATGGTCAGAGTCTCCTTGCCCACCGCCAGCACCAGCGTGGTCCGGGGGCAGTTGCCACGTACCACCTCCACCACGGCTTCTGATTTGGGGGTGAAAAAAGGCCTTTTTTGGGATCTCTTGCCTGCCCTGGGTGCCACTGTGCTCTCGCAGAGCCCGGGGAAGGGATGCACTGATGCCACCAAGCTGGTTCTTGGGACGTTGCAATGCTTTTGGGGGCCTCGCAGTGCTTTTGGGGGGGGCCTCGGGGGCACCCATGGGTGCTGGCGTACCCACGGTGGAGGTGTTGAAGTTTTGGGGGCTGGAGCCAGGGCCTCTGAGGGCCATCTGCAGCACGAGGGCCTCGGTGTCTTGCAGCAGCAGCTCGGTGTTTTTGGCGGTGTTGGAGTGGAGATCCGTGAACACGGCCCTCTGCAGCTTCTTCAGCACGGTCTGGCGGGGGTGGGGGGGCACATGCGTGTGTCAGGGCACATGTGTGTGTCAGGGGTGTGCGGGGATGCACACGGAGGAGGGCGATGCAGGGGAGGGACGCACACGGGGATGCACGGGGTGATGAGGATGCATGCGGGGACGGACACGCGTAGAGGTGCACACGTGTGCAGGGGTGCACGTGGGATGGACATGTGTAGGGGATGTACACGGCACACGTGTGCAGGGGTGCATGGACATGTGTAGGGGATGTACATGGGGATACACACGGGATGGACACGTGTAGGGGACAGACACGGGACACGCACACACGTAGGGGATAGACACCAGGATGGACGTGTGTAGGGACGCACGGGAGGATGGACACATGTGCAGGGGGTGCCCACGGGATGGACACGTGTAGGGGATCCACCCAGGGATACACACGAGTAGGGGTGCCCACGGGATGGACACGTGTAGGGGATCCACCCAGGGATACACACGAGTAGGGGTGCCCACGGGATGGACACGTGTAGGGGATCCACCCAGGGATACACACGAGTAGGGGTGCACAGGAGGATGGACACGTGTAGGGGATCCACCCAGGGATACACACGAGTAGGGGTGCACAGGAGGATGGACACGTGTAGGGGATCCACCCAGGGATACACACGAGTAGGGGTGCACAGGAGGATGGACACGTGTAGGGGATCCACCCGGGGATACACACGAGTAGGGGTGCACAGGAGGATGGACACGTGTAAGGGGCATGGGCACACGTAGGGGATGGACATAGAAATGCACGTGTGTAGGGGACACGTGTACAGGACAGACATGGGCCATGCACGCGTGTAGGGGATACACGTGGAGAGGACGCACACAGGACGCACATGGGTAGGGGCTGGACGTGGGCTTGCACACACATGTAGGGGATGGAGACGGGATGCACACGTGTGCAGGGGATGCACACGGGGACACGTGGACACACGGACACACCCAGCCCCAGGCACACACGTGTGCCCAGCCCCGCATCACCTGCAGGTGCTTCTCCGTGGGCTGGGCGCAGGCAGCCTTCAGGAGCTGCTGGGTGTACTGCAGCTGGGCGCAGAAGGTGGCCCCCGGCGGGGTCTGGGGCGCAGGGGTGTCGGCACCAACCCGTGCCCCGCAGGCGTCTGTCTGTCTGTCCTTCCCTCCAGCCCACCATCCTCCATCCCTCCCTCTTTCCCTCCAACCATCTGTCTGTCCCTCCCTCCGTCCATCCCTCTGTCCCTCCGCACATCCCTCCCTCCCCCCATTCCTCCCTCCAACCATCTGTCTGTGCCTCCACCCCTCCCTCCAGCTGTCCATTTGTCTGTCTGTCCCTCCCCCCCGTCTGTCCCTCCTTCCCTCCCTCCCT